TTAGAAAGAAACTGTATTAAACCAACATTTCTCCATCTAAGGGGAAAGGGAACAGAGCCGGGAGAGGACATTTTTAATGACCTCGCGTCACAAAGTTTAACCCTTCACCAACATGGTTGAAATTTGAAAAGAGAAATAGGAAAAACTGAAAGCTACACCAACCGATATGAAATACAACAGGACCCCACATCACCCAGGTTGTATTAGAGAACGTTCAGATTTTTGAATCCACATCCGACTATAATTAGAGATAAATACATTGTGCTGATTTTATTGAATGGTTTTTCCTAAAAATGAAGGCTGTTTGCAGTTTACAAGCAAACACTGACAATTGTGATGTTATTATAAATTCACGATAAACCCCTTAATTAGCCAAGGTGCAACATCTAGATGTTTTGGCTGAATGTAATATGTAACGAAATCTTGCCAATATTTGTGATTCCATTGCAGTTTGCAGCCGTTGCTGCATTGTGCGTTCAACATGGAAGCAGAGTTCAGGTCAAACATGAGTATTGTAGTCAAAGCTCTGCAAGCTCTCTGTTAAATGCCCGGCCTGGTCCTGGCAGTGAAGCGCCAACTCTGTAGACGGTACATCTCTTTCTCTCTTTTGGGTCCATGTGCTGACACGTGACGTGAGCGTGCAAATTATTACGATAGCTATGATTTTATGCGATGTATGATGTGTAGACAATGCTTTTATTTTTTCATTTGTTTGCCTCTCATTTGTGTGCTTCTTAGCCTTAGCCTTGGCCTCCTCACAAACAAACCCACGTGCACGATGGCCCATTTTCTCCCAAAGGAAAAAAAAGGTAAAGTTCTTACCTTTTCTATTCTATTATTTAGTTTCTGGTTAAATTATTAATTTAAATTCTTGAAGCTTGAACCTTTTTTCATGCACAATTTTTTGTGTTTGTTTAGGAATTGAAGAAGGGTCTTTATTTTTATTTTTTCTACCTAACCATATATAAACTTTTTCGCTTAGTACAACTTTAAATTTAAAAATTAAAATAATTTTTTAAAAAAGTTTCAACATAATTGAAACTAAGTTCATATAAATTTTAATATTTTAACCCAGTTTTTTTAGCCTCACGGGCTAAAAGGCGAAAACCCAAACACTTTTTTCCCTCTGACACACTGCACGTCCCTTCTTTTTCTTTTTCAGTTTGGACCCCTCCAACTTAAATTAAAGTTTTTTTTTTTTTTCAATTCTTAACTTTCAGAATTTTATTCACTAGGTTATTGAATTTTTTAAAGTGAATAAGTTCAAGAACTTTCTGTTCTTGTTTAATGGGTCTTTTGACTTTTAGTTTTTTACACCTATTGGTAGAAAATTAAATTAACAAGATACAAAAAAAAGTTGAATAGATCAATATCTAATAAACTAATAATTCAAAATATTTAGCGGCTAGTTAATTCAAAATTTAAAAAGTTTTTAAATAATTATGATATTTAGCGGCTAGTTAGATATTATAATAAATTTTGATGCTAGGTTCTACACTAGCTAGCTAGCTAAAGTGTTTATGAGTCAGTCTGGTAAAAACTAGTGCAACTGCCACTTTAAATTACCATGTTTGGAATGCCTGATAAGTTATTTTGAAATAAGTCAAAATCTTCTCTTAAAATACGCTGTGAGAAACCAATGTTTGAGTGCTGTATCTGTGAAGAACTCAATAGCATTTTTGTGTGTAAAGAGTTCAATGTCAGTAACTTTTATGAAGTAATTTTTTTATTAATTAACATGTTCTAACACATTTATGCACTTTTTTGTGTTCATAAATAGGATGTTTTTGAGTTAAAAGTACCTTTAGCTCTGGTAATGACATATAATACTTCCAGAGAGGGTCTAAATTTAATATACTAACTTTTAGCTAATTAACTGTTATCTTTTGATGTGAAGTGTTGCTACTTGCTGTCATGAGATTGGTTAACATTTAGTGGTTTTTGAAAAATATGCAAAATTCAGCTTTAAATTATTGAGAACACATTAGATACCATAAAGTTTTATATCCAGGTTGATGTATACATATATGTAACCGTTCGAGTCCACGTCAATAGTGGATATTATTCTCTTTAGGCTTTTTCTTTGAGACTTTCCCTCAAGGTTTTTAAAATGCATATGCTAGGGAGAAGTTTCCACATCAAAGAATGATTCGTTCTCCTCTCTAATCGATATGTGATCTCACAATCAAGCGTCCTTGTTGGCATCTTTCTCTCTCCAATGGAGGTAAGGTCTCACACCATATGTTATTACAAATTAGAAATTCTAATTTTTTTTCTCTTATTAGAACTAAAAAAAAAAAATTATACTTTCTAAATAATAAATTTAGTATTTTCTCTAAAATTATTTTAAGTTCTTGTATTCTCCATTTTAAAATGAGAGGAGAATTGAATGCTGGGAAAATGTCTCGTCACCAATATTCTGGCTATATTTTGGTACTGGTTTTATTACTCAAATTTAGAAGTTAGTTGGATTGAATTAAAAATAAAGGTTTAAAAATTGAGAAGGTGGGGAAAATGAAAATCAATCAATAAATAAAATAGGGTTTGTTTTTTTCTCATTCTTTATTTATTTTGTTGTATTAGTAGGAGCAGAAGAGTATCTGCATCATATCTTGTTTGTCGATAGGTAACATCAGTGAGTTGTATGATGGCACCTGCCTCCCTCCCTACTGTCTCAAAACCATCTCTCTCACTCATTTCTTTCTCAATTTAAATTTCCCTTTTTTTTCCTTCTAACTTCCAAATTTGTTTCCTTTTATGATACTATCTTATCCAATATTCATTCCATTTTTTATCATTCATTTTGATTTTGATTTTGATTTTGATTTTTTTTTTTTTTTGTACATATATTCATTCATACCCCGTTGACGACCTCCAACTATATCATTCATGTTTTTTTTAGTATTATTGAAAGGAGTAGTCCGAGAGAAAGATTATGGGTTTACAAGTAAGGAATATTATCCCCCATTAATACGGGACATTTTGAAAAAACCAAAATAAAGTCACGAGAGTTTATGTTGTAAGTGGACAATATATTATCATTGTGAAAGATCGTGTTCTTGATAGTTTTTCCTATGACAATAATCAAAATAACTATCCATATACTCTAGCTAGAGGGTTTGATGTATTAACAGATATCTTCGTTATCATTTATAGACACTCGTAAAATATCAAAAAATCAACTAAATGAATATATTAACTTTGGTGGTAAGTAAAAAAAGTAACTTAATTATAAATGTAATTTTATTTACATAAATATTCGGCAATTACAAATTATCTGTAAAATTGAAATCCTCATCCATGTTTTTAATCCAATCTTCTTCTCTCGTATATTTCTTTCAATATTTCAATTTATATTCTTATATTAGATCGGCTGTGAATCAATTTACATCCTTATAAAAAATCTATTTCAATTTATATTTACGATCTGTTTTTAATCTATTTATTTAGAGAGAATTGATTATCATTTTTACTACTCATAATTATTAGCTTATAGTTTTAATTGATTCAACCTACATGGGTATTAGTTTTATTTTATTTTTTATTTTTTTACGGACCCAAGCATAGCTAGTCAACATGTATTTCGAAGTTACAAGTTCATAAGTTTAAACCTCCTTTTTTACGAAAATATTCTCGACATGATTTTTTTCAAAGAAATAGAATCTTTACCAATTTTAATGTAAGTTTATTTATTTTTTCATTAAAAAAATAATTAGCAATACATTTTCAAAAAGATAGACAATAAAGAAAGGTTAGCAACCCCACCCTAATCATGATATTTTCAAATATTTGTATACAATCTTCAAAGCATTTTTTTAATATATAGTTTTTTTTTCTTTTTTTAATTAAAAAAATTAACAATTTCAATATTTAATTTTTTTTATTAATATATAAATTAGTTGAATTATGTTTTAATTGATAGATTTTTATCATTTTAGACGTAGATAATGTGACTAAAATGAAAAAAAATTAATAGAAAAATGCTTCTTTCATTCATTGAATTTATGACTTAATTAAGTTTAATTCAATAATTATTTTTCTATTAATTATGCTCTAATCACTTGTATAAATAATTTTTAAATTATTTAAAAGGTAAATTTGTTTAATGCTCGTAAATAAATAAATAAATAAATAACTTACATATTAATTTTCTTAATTAAAAATTTAAATTTAAATAAATGATCAAAGTTCTCCAACCGGGGGGCCTACAACAGACTCTTAAAATTTTCGCTTTTCCATTTTTTTTTATTATTAATATTTTTAATTTCACAGAGAGAGAACTTGTCGAGACGATATTAATGAAGAACAGATGCAGTCATTCGTAATTCAACCGGGGCCGGAGGAGAGAGAAATGAAGAGCGCGCCAATAGGACGTCCGGCCTTATAGTTCACTCATCCGCCGTCGCCGTCGCCGTCGCATTTTCAGAGCTTCAGGTAGTGTTCTAACTCTAACCGTGAAACTCATGCTCCTCTATAATCCGAACATTTTCTCGTTCTGTTTTACGGTTTCTGTTCTTGCATTTGTTCTTGCTTTTCTAAAAGCTTCGTATTCTCTCTCTCTCTTCAAAAAGTATGGTTATAACTTCTAAGAGTCATCATTTCGATCTCGTACCTTCTGGTTATTCTTTTCCTGAAAATGAACGGCGCGATTACTTTGAAATAAGCGATGCGGTTAGACTTTTTTTTTTTCACTGTAGAGGGAAAGAGAAACTTTCATACAATTAGTACGTGAATTCTTTTACTGTTGAAGCATCGATCTGCCTTGGATTTCTTCCACCACTTGTTTGTTTCTTTTCTTTTTCAGTGGAAGAATAATTGAGGATAGCGATTCCGTAGGTTCGTTTTAATCGGTGTTATTTTGCTTCTGACTGGTTATTCCTTTAATTTTCATGCTTAAGCTTCCACTCGCAACTTTTTTGCTCGGCCTTTCTACGCATTTCCGGTTCGATTTCCTACTTCCTTTTTTTCACCTTCAATCATCGCCAGTAACTCTTACTGTTGTTTGAATGTTGAGAAAAATGAGTTTATTTCAATGTAATTTTATTCTTTCGTTTTCGCGTTAGCAAGGGAGCGATCTCTGTGCTGCTTTCTCTGTTTTTCCTCTGTTTTGTTACTGAAAAATGAGCGAGGATCCACTTTTATCTCATTTTATATTGTTTTTCTTTTATCTAAGGCAGCTACAATTTCTCGAGGAGTTTAGTTGACTCCTTAATTTATCATTTCCTTTCTGTTAGGGCAAAAACAAGAATGGATGTTGGATTGTATCTGCTCTTGGAATAATTGCTGCACACGCCTGCCTAAATAAATTTTTGTGTCTGATGAATTAACACGATATGCGGTTGAATTTAATAGATGTTTCTTTCCTCTAAAATGCTGAAATAATCTTGAACTTTCTTTTTGTCCTTATTTTTTTTTTCAGTGTCACTGATAAACCTTTTTTTTTTTCAAAAAAAATCTCGGTAGTGGTGTACAATCTTTCTGTGGAGGCCTTTCTTTGTGGCACTTCACTCTTGATTAAAATTGTGTGAGTTTTTTGCAACCACTTTGACCATTTCTCTTCATGGTTGCTGCAGCGAAGGCATAATCTTTTAACACAATGTCAGATTTAGAGGTTCCTCTTCGGCCAAAGAGGAAGAAGGTGTGGGTGGACTACTTTGTGCAATTCAGATGGATTTTAGTTATTTTTGTTGTCCTTCCTATATCATTCAGCCTATACTTCTTCACATATCTTGGGGACGTCAAATCTGCCTGGAAATCCTACGAGAAACGCCAAAAGGAACACGATGAAAATGTCAAGAAAGTTGTAAAGCGCCTTAAACAGAGGAACCCAACAAAGGATGGCCTTGTTTGCACAGCCCGCAAGCCTTGGATTGCTGTTGGAATGCGAAATGTTGACTACAAACGAGCACGTCACTTTGAGGTTGATTTATCGGCTTTTCGAAATATTTTGGATATTGACAAAGAAAGAATGATTGCCAAAGTTGAACCCCTTGTGAACATGGGGCAAATCAGCAGGGCCACTGTTCCACTCAATCTTTCCCTTGCTGTAGTTGCTGAACTTGACGATCTTACTGTTGGAGGACTCATCAACGGCTATGGAATTGAAGGAAGCTCCCATCTCTATGGCTTGTTCTCGGACACTGTTGTGGCTTATGAGATTGTTCTAGCAGATGGCCAGCTTGTTAGAGCCACTAAAGACAACGAGTACTCAGATCTTTTCTATGCAATCCCGTGGTCCCAAGGAACAATTGGTCTTCTTGTTGCTGCTGAGATTAAGCTCATACCCATTAAAGAGTATATGAAAGTCACATATAAACCTTTTATAGGGACATTAAGGGAGATAGGACAAGCTTATATGGATTCTCTTGCCCCTAGAGATGGAGATCAAGATAACCCAGAAAAGGTTCCCGACTTTGTGGAAACTATGATTTATACCCCTTCTGAAGCTGTGGTCATGTCAGGTAGATATGCCTCCAAAGAAGAGGCGAAGAAAAAGGGAAATGTGATAAATCAGATTGGATGGTGGTTCAAACCATGGTTCTATCAGCATGCAGCTACCGCACTCAAGAAAGGCGAGTTTGTGGAGTATATCCCTACAAGGGATTACTATCATAGGCACACCAGGTCTTTATATTGGGAGGGAAAGCTTATCCTTCCCTTTGCAGATCAATGGTGGTTCAGATTTTTATTGGGATGGATGATGCCTCCCAAAGTTTCTCTGCTCAAAGCTACTCAAGGTGAAGCTATCAGAAACTATTACCATGAAATGCATGTTATTCAAGACATGCTTGTTCCGCTTTACAAGGTTCCGGATGCTTTGGAGTGGGCTCATCGTGAGTTCGAGGTACTGCTTCCACCTTATTAAACACAACTCTGAAACTTTTGAGACTAAAGCTTAACCAGCCAAGTTTTATTTTAACTAGCAAACTTAAGTATTTGATAGAGGTGGTTATAGGCAAACAGCTGATGAGTCCTATCAGAGGTGGATTTCGGCTGCAGTATGCAATTTATTTGATTAACCACATTTGTTTGTTGTGTCTTCTTGCACAGGTTTACCCTATTTGGCTCTGCCCACACAGACTCTTCAAGCTTCCAGTCAAAACCATGATATATCCTGAACCAGGATTCGAGTTACATCGTCGGCAAGGCGACACACATTATGCTCAAATGTACACAGATGTTGGACTCTACTATGCACCAGGCCCTGTCCTGAGGGGCGAGGTTTTCGACGGTGCCGAGGCTGTTCGTAGAATGGAAAAATGGCTTCTAGAAAACCATGGATTCCAGGCTCTATATGCAGTGTCAGAACTGAATGAGAAAGATTTCTGGAGGATGTTTGATGCTGAACTCTATGAGCAATGCCGGAAGAAATATGGAGCTGTTGGAACCTTTATGACAGTTTACTACAAGACCAAGAAAGGCCGGAAAACTGAGAAGGAAGTGAAGGAAGCTGAACAAGCTCATCTTGAAACTACTTGTGCTGAACTGGAACAGCCCAATTAAATTAAGTTCCTGCTTCAAATATTTGGTGCGTTTTCTTAATTCTCTTTTTTTCTTTCTTTTTCAAGCAAATGATGTTCTTGTCGTTCCAGATCTGAGTGCTTGTCTTACCTGCCCTTAGCTCTCCTAGTGGTTAATTTGAAAATGTTGTAGTTTGAATTGCAGAACTTGATGGATTATCAACAGAGTTTCTCTTTGATGCTGTGTTTTTTTATGAATTAGATGAGATGTTGATGAGCCGATTGATGGAAATATCTATAAAAAAAAAAAATGCTGATCTTGATGAATATTTTAGAAAATAAATTATATAATAGTCCGGTACCAGTAGATATTGTTCTCTTTGAAATTTTCCTTCCGAATTTTCCCTCGAGGTTTTGAAACACATATGTTAGGAAGAGATTTATATACCCTTATAAGTAATGTTTTGTTCTACTCTTGAACCGATGTAAAATCTCACAATCCACTCCCTTTGGAACCTAACGTCTTTGTTGACAAACCGCTTGGCATCCACCCTTGTGAGATCAAGCATCCTAGTTTAAGTGTCATTATCTCTAAAACTTATAAGTAATGTTTTGTTCTACTCTCGAACCGATGTAAAATCTCACAATCCACTCCCTTTGGAACCTAACGTCTTCGTTGACAAACCGCTTGGCATCCACCCTTTTGAGATCAAGCATCCTAGTTTAAGTGTCATTATCTCTAAAACTTATAAGTAATGTTTTGTTCTACTCTCGAACCGATGTAAAATCTCACAATCCACTCCCTTTGAAACCTAACGTCTTCGTTGACAAACCGCTTGACATCTACCCTTTTGAGATCAAGCATCCTAGTTTAAGTGTCATTATCTCTAAAACTTTGTCATGGTTTGTTTTAAAGTCTCAAATATCTCTAAAACTTTGTCATGGTTTGTTTTAAAGTCTCAAAGGAAAAAACAAGAAGAACAAAACCCTAAATATCTTGAAACTCTCCTATGTCAAATCCCTTCACACTCTCACCATCAAAATTAAAGGAACTTATAATCAAATCATTCGTTCATTCGTCAGTCATATCTATCTTGATATCTATCTTGTAGCAATACGACACGTCCTCTCGTGTCATCTCAATATATTGGGGAAAAAGAAAAAGGTTTGTGATTGGTTGGTAAGTTAAAATTTTCAAGTTTTAATTTTTAGATTTAGTTTATAAAAATTATTCCCGCCTACAAATTTTATTTATCTTATTATATATTTTTTAATAAAATGTTTTTTTAAAAATAAGGAAGTAACTTGCACGCCATGCATTGAAACATTTTTCTTCAAATAATTAAAATGTATAATAAATGTAGATTTAAATTTATCAACTATATCAAGCTATATTTACTATCAACTTGAGTACTTCTAAATAGTTATTAAAGACTACAGCAAAACGTTTTTTCAAAGTACGTTCAACGTATTCACGAACTCGAAAAACATAAATTACAAAACTTAGGTTAACCTACATCTATAAACATTCATTAGTTAATAAACTTAAAGTTTCTAATAAAAATATACCTATTTTAAAATTTGAAGCTTGATTAAGATTTTCATAATGTGTGTGTGTGTAAAGGGGAAAATAAAAAGGCCTTAACTTGAGGAATGTGAAGAAGGGAGAGATACCATACCTACAAACAAAAGCCATTTTACAAAAATCCAGCCACACCAAATTTGGACACCATCAACATGGCTTATCCAATGGTCTCAGATGTGTGCACTGACCTGTTTAGTTAGCTCTAAAAGCTCTTATGATGCACCAAAATGTTGTTGAACTTCTGGCCAATTTAAGTAACTCGCGCCATCGTTGGATAATCTCCAAAGCCCTTCAGCAATTTCATCATACAACTGATCCCAACCCCAACTTGAATAACCCAAGAAAAACCAATATCCATTAACTGAGTGATTTCCTGACTTTATCTCTTCTATTTCATGTAATGTAGCTACCTGATCCAGGAAGTGTATGCCTGGTAGGATTTCAAGCTGCTGCTGCAGATCTTTAGGAACTTTTTGAGTTAAGGCCACGAGAGGCATTTTGCGTTTAATGAGCGGCCCACCAAGCGACAAAGGTGCCTCGTTTAACATCTCTAAACCTTCTGCCATGTCTTGAAGAGAATCCCATCTGATATACTTGTTGATTATCAGACCGTGGAAACCAACGGTTTGATCTGCCTTGACAATCAGAATCTGAGCATTATCAAAAAGTTGTGAACCAACAAGCTTGTCTGTGGCGGTTAACACGCATCCAATGCCTATGTGAAGTGATGATTCCTCCTCATCATTTGTGATATGAAGATTTAAGTGACCGAATCTTGTAGCACTTTCCACTTTCCTGTCTCTCACTAGGACTTCGTGGTACTTTTCGCTTGGAATAGCATCCTTTTCTTGAAGATGAGTGGGTCTTACATCTTCAAATGACTTGCCGCGTTCAATTCTGTTGTCCGCCACTGTCCATAGAATTCCTATTTAACAAAGAACAACCAGCCATTAGATTATAGACAACATGTGGAAAATGTCTGGTTTCTTGAAAGCTCAATTCTGCATTTAAAATTACTCTTGAGGGCATCCCTAACATCATAAAGTCAAAATAATGTCATTTTCCGGTAAAGTTTTTGAGTAAAAAATTATTCCCTCGACTTCAATTGATAATCTTGAACAAGACAAATTTCTCAATCAACAGAACTGGCCACATTCAATGTGACACGGACGTGGTGCATTCAAAATGTCCTACGGCTCTTGTTCATCCAAGAGGAAATTAGTCTTCTATGTCTAAGACAAGTGTGGAAGATTTAACAAAGATCGTGGGCTAACAGGATACAAGCAAGTCATACACAGATAATCTCGGCAAACAAACAAACCCATGGATGCAGAAATCAACACCATTATGATGCAAACTGAAAGCAGAACTCGGGTGGTAAGAATAGCAATAAGGGATAATAAAAAGCCTTAGTTTGGACATTACCCTTCTGACTGATAAGGTGTTGGGAATTACTTCCTTGTTCTGCCACAAATTCAATAATATCGCTTACTGCTAGATCACCCTCATACAATATAGCTTTCTTACTTGCTGCTGGAAATAACAAAAGGGCAGGATATACTTCTCTCTGCATGCCCAAGTTTACGAAAGGTTAACTATTGAACAACGCTAAGCAAATACAAAATTAGTCACTGGCAGAGACCAATTTCCAAAATACAAAATTAAGCAATGACTTTAAATCAAAATACAAAATATCAAATCAATATAGAAGTTAGACTTCTATATTGACTTAAACTAGTTTATAAGGACACTAATGGAAGGAAGGTATCCCTATGATGTTGTGAGAACCTTCTTGGCAAATGGTACGTATTATTGTTGGGAATACCATGCCGTGTAATGGTTCACCAATAATTTGGTAAAATAATCAATGAAAACACTGACTGCAGAAAAACATTAAAATTGAAGACAAATTTCTACAGGGAGGGGAAAGAAAACAGATGTCAGTCCTGAAAAGCGCACCTGATCAAATGACTTTAGAATTGAACTGCAATCGTTCAGTGTGCAGTCCATTAAGTAGATAAGCGGGAGCTTTGACAGTAGATCTGTCCGAGCTTCTGCAAAATGTAATGTGAACACAAACACTATTATTGTTGGACCATTCTAAAATTGATTCAAGCATTTAAACGGATAAATGTAAAACACTTATTACCACTTTTTCAAAAGCATATTACCTCTAGTACCAAAAGTCAATCGATATACAACAAACTTCTTACATTAATATACTAAGATTGCAAAATAGAAAAACTTTGTAGCTAGTACGTCATGGAACCCACCGAAGAGCAATGAGCAAAATAATATTATCATGTTAAGACAAGTTGTAAGATTCCCACAAGGAAATGCAGAGGCATTTTCAAACAGAATAGGAAGAAGACGAAGAAGATAAGAATGAACCACCATCAGAAGTCCTGATAATTTTGAGGACAAGCAATGAAGTACTCACCACTTAACATGTTATCTTCCTTTCCACGTCCACTCGTCAGCGTGTTAGCATAACCCTGGATAGCTCGATAAACTTCAGAAACAACTACTTCACTTCTCAGGCAAAAACCACACCAACTATTGCTGAACAGAACTAACACATCCTTGCCATGTGGATCGAGAGTATTTAAAGATTCTGATTCAATGGAGCCAATAACAAGTTTGGAGAAAGTAAGAGCTGTAACCCGAGGAACAGAATTCAACTCATGAAAATCCAAATTAACAAATGGTGGGATAATGGCTGCCCTAGGGCTTCTGTTAACGGATTCAGACAGTTGAAATGGATGTAAGCTTCTATTGAGAAAACTGCTTAAGAAATCAGCCTGTGAAGAATAGCTCAGTATTTTCTCTGATGGAAAGACATGATGCTGCTGCAGAAGGGGATCAACTATTACCAAAGCAGGGAACTTTGATTGATCTGTCAAAGCTTTAAGTAATCGGTGGTTACCATCAGAGAAGAAAAATGAACCTTCAAAACCTTGGATGCAGAGGTTCTCATCCCTCGATATTTCCATTGTTAAAGAAGATTTTTCTTCAACTTTAATGATTCGAGGAACATCCAATTTCTGATCGGAAGCTGATTCATCAGACTGGATAGAATCATGATGCTCATGTGTATGAATGCTAGCACTCTTCTCATTATCTTGCTGAGTAGAAGATTCCATGGTACAAACATCTGAAGCTTCCCCACGCTCTTTGGCAGACATACACCTGCCATGAATTGACTGATCTTCATCCAGTTGAACACTAAGTGTAGTAGTGCCTTTCGGGGATGTCTCTGGTGACACTTCTGAAGGTTGAACTTCTGCCACATCTGCCAATGGATTTGCTAATTTAAGGTCAATATCATCAGATAAGAGCTGGAAACCTAAATTCCTTGCAAGGGAGCTTAACGTAGCCTGTTTTTTCTGAAGGAGTGATAGGATCTCTTGCAATGAATTTCCTTGTAGTTCTGAAGCTAATTTATCCAAAGAGACAAGTTTACCCTCATTCACAATCATGACAGAAGACTTATCCTCCAATTTAATTGACCGAGATGCTGGAGACAACTTTAGTCTAGGAGGTTCCAAGGCACTTCTCAGTGACAGGAGCTTGTTAGGTGCTTGTTCAGTGACGGGATAAGATGTGCAATACTGTTGTGCTAATTCTCTGAAATCCCCAAGAACTGCCTTACTGTCTCTTCTAGACTCTGATGAGTTAGATGATCTATCCAC